TAGCATAATACCCTCTAGGTCCATCTATGTTGTCCCAAATGGCAAGATCTCATCCTTTTTTGTGTGTGGCTGAATAATACTCCATTATAGATATATCTATCTATCTATAGACAGATAGATAGATAGATAAATAGATAGATCTCACATTTTCTTTATCCATTCATCTATCAGTTGACATTTGGATTGCTTCCATTTTCTTTTCTTTTTTTTTAAGATTTTATTCATTTAACAGAGAGAGACACAGCAAGAGAGGGAACACAAGCAGGGGGAGTGGGGGAGAGAGAAGCAGGCTTCCCATGGAGCGGGGAGCCCTATGTGGGGCTCGATCGCAGGACCCTGGGATCATGACCTGAGCTGAAGGCAGACGCCCAATGACTGAGCCACCCAGGCGCCCGCTTCCATTTTCTATTGTAAATAATGCTGCGCTAAACATGGGGGTGCATCTATCTTTTCAAATTAGTGTTTTTTGGGATTTAGTTTTCTTTGGGTAAATACTCAGTAGTGGAATTATTGGATCATATGGTAATTCTATTTTTAATTTTTTGAGGAACATCCATACTATTTTCCACAGTAGCTGTACTAATTTACGTTACCTCCAGTAGTACATAAGGGTTCATTTTTCTCCACATCCTTACTAACATTTGTTATTTCTTGTCTTTTTGATTCTAGCTATTCTGATGGGTGTAAGTTGTTATGTCATTGTGGTTTTGGTTTGCATTTTCCTGATGATTAGTGATGTTGAGCATCTTTTCATGTGTCTTTTGGCCATCTGTATATCCTCTTTGGAAAAATGTCTGTTCAGGTCCCCTGCCTATTTTTAATTGGATTATTTGGGGGAAGTGGTTTTTGGTGTTGAATTTTGTAAATTCTTTATATATTTCAGATGTTAACGCTTTATCAGATGTATCAATTGAAAATATCTTCTCCCATTCAGTAGGTTGCCTTTTCATTTTGTTGATTGTTTCCTTCACTGTGCAAAAAACTTTTTATTTTGGTGTAATCTCAATAGTTTATTTTTGGTTTTGTTTCCCTTGCCCTAGGAGACAGCTAGAAAAATGTTGCTGTGGTTGATGTCAAAGAAATTACTGCTTATGTTCTCTTCTAGGAGTTTTGTAGTTTCAGGTCTCACACTTAGGTCTTTTTTTTTTTTTTTTTTTAAGATTTTATTTATTTTGACAGAGAGAGAGAGATAACGAGAGAGGGAACAAAGCAGGGGGAGTGGGAGAGGGAGAAGCAGGCTTCCCATGGAGCAGGGAGCCCAATGCGGGACTCGATCCCAGGACCCTGGAATCATGACCTGAGCCGAAGGCAGATGCTTAACAGACTGAGCCACCCAGGCGTCCCATCACGCTTAAGTCTTTAATCCAAAATAAAATACAGATTATTGGGCTTTATGCTGTACTTTCTATACTACTGGTTTAGATACTGATTGGCTAGAAAGATGTTGATGCTAATGCTAACAATGAAAACAATGCACGAGAGGATTAGGGATAACGAAGACTAGTTGACAGTTGGATATGGTGGTTTTGAAGGATTGGGACAGCACCTAAGTGGAAGGGATCTAGCATGGAAAGTTGAGGGGGACTAGAGGAAAGTGAGAAGAAAGTGCAAAAATTGGAGCCTTGGGGAGCAGCTACATTGTAGATATAGGAGGAAAAACAAGGCATTAGAAAATAAAAGGACAGAAAGGGATAAAAAACAGTTGATAGAGTGTACTGTCAGATGTTGGAATGGGCAAGAATAAGGACTGAGAAATTTAGATTGGGTGAGTAAGAAAACATTAGTGACTCTTCAGAATGCAGTTTTATTCAGAAGAGGTTAAGGAGCAAAAGGAGAAAATAAAAACAGCAAGCATAAACTTTTTTCTTTTTTTTCCCAAAATGTGGTAAAGAGAGGAAGGAATCAAGCTGGGAATTAGTAAGATCAAAGCATGGCTTTTAAAGTTTGGGCAACTTGGTACTATTTTAGGTCAGTATTTCTGTGGAGTACTTGTGTCTTGTAAGTCACCTGTCTCTTTTGCTTTTCTTTCTCTTCTCTCCAGCCCTTTAACAGTAGAATGTCGTCTTCCTCATCTATACTCACTCCCTTGGTGATCGTGCTGGTAGTCTTCCATTTGCCCCTGTAGGTTCACTCTTCCTTCTCTACCTGCTTTCTTTCCCAGGAGGCTGACCTGCAGGAATTACATCAACAAGCTTCTTTGACCTTTGGCTTTTGTAGAGTTTGGCCAATGTAGAGTCCAAACAGGACACTGGAGGGAAAGAAGGAGGAAAGTGAAATTGGAGCATTTATCCCCTTGGCTCCAAACTGGCTGAATTGACTGAAGGTCACTGCTCCTCTTGAGTCAGTCCCCTACAGGACTCCCCTGGGTCTGGTAACCAACCACTTCCTCTCCTGGTCCCTTTAGGCCTAGGTGTGTAAACAGGATATCACACTCTGTTTTCCCTTGTAGTTTCCCTAACATCTTGCCCACACCTTTATAAATTGTCTCTTTATTAATCCTGTGCATTCATTTGCTGCTGGGACTCTGACTGATACAGTGATCTTTTCCAGTTTCATGGCTTTAAATGTCAGCCATACACCAATTCCTCCCAAATTTATAGCTCCAGTTAAGACCTGTCTCCTAAACTGCAGACTCATGTATCTGGCTGCCAGCTAGATTTGGTTGTTTAACATAGGTCTCAACTTACTGATCTTTCTTCCTAAACCTCTTGATGTCATCTCCATCCTTCTGGTTGTTTAGGGCAAAGATCTCAAAATCATCCTCAGTTTCTCCCTTTTTCTCACCCCCCCCCCATTTCTATCTGTCAGAATATCTAAGTAGGTCTACCTTTAGTAGAGAATCTCACCACTTCTCACCAACCTCCATTCCTGCCACCCTGGTCTCACTATCGTAATCTTTCACTTCTAATAATTGGTCTTCCTACTTTTTACCTTTGCCCTCTTTCACTCTATTTTCCATATAGTAGGGAAAATGATTAAAATACAAGTTAGATCATGTCACTTCTCTGCTTAAAACCTCTCTATGTCTTACCACTTCAGAGTAAAAGCCAAAAGTCCTTACAATGACCTCAAAGTCCCAACATTATCGGCCTCCTACCCCCATTATCTCTGTGCCCCCATATTCTACTCTTTCTCCCTCGATTACCCTGTGCTAGGCACACTGGCTTTCCTTACTGCTTTAACACTCTTCTCCCTGTCTGTAACGCTTCTCCCAGATATCCACATGACTGATCCTCCACCTCCTAATTTAAGTCTTTGTTCAAACATCTTCTTAATGAGGGTTACCTTAACCACCTTATTTAAAATTGCAAATTGACCCCCCTGTGGTACTCCTGATCTGCCTTCCCCTACTGTTTTTTTCCCCTAACACTTAACATCTTATAACCTATTATATAATTTACTTATTTTTTCTTTTTTTTTTAAAAGATTTTATTTATTTATTTGACAGAGAGAGACACAGTTAGAGAGGGAACACAAGCAGGGGGAGTGGGAGAGGGAGAAGCAGGCTCCCCACTGAGCAGAGAGCCTGATGTGGGGCTCGATCCCAAGATCCTGGGATCATGACCTGAGCCGAAGGCAGACACCTAATGACTGAGCCACCCAGTGGCTACTTATTTTTTTCTTATCTTTTAATTATCATGCAGTAAAATTGCCCTTTTTCCCCTCTAATGGCGTACAGTTCTGTGAGTTTTAACACATGTACAAATTATTATGACCATCACCACAATTCTGATACAGGACAGTTCCATGCTCCAAAGAATGAATCACATCTTCCCCATTCCTAACCCTGGCAACCACTGATCTGCTCTTAATCATATATTTTTGTCTTTTCAATAATGAGATCATGTAGTATGTAACCTTTCACCACTGGCTTTTACTCAACATAATGCCTTTGAGATTCCTCTAAGTTGCTCAGTGTATCAGTAGTTCATTACTTCTTAATCACCAAGTAGTATTCTATTCTGTGGCTGTACTACAATTTATTCAGTCACCCACTGAAGGAATTTTGGGTTGTTTCCAGTTTGGGCACTTACAAATAGAGCTGCTAAAAACATTTACATATAGGCTTTTATGTGACCGTAAGTTTTGTTTCTCCAGAATATAATTTACTTACTAATCACATTTATCTCTTTTTTTTGCATTCTTTGTTTGTGGATTTATTATTCTAAGTTTCTAAAACAGTTCTGGCATGTACCAGGAGCTCAGTAAATTAGTGAATATGCAATGTTACTGTAAAATGGAAAGGTATAGGGACACCTGAGTGGCAGAGTCGGTTGGGCACCCTACTTGGTTTCCACTTGGATTGTGGTCTTGGGATCAAGCCCCGCCTCAGGCTCCGTGCTTGGCACACAGTCTGCTTAGATGCTCCCTCTGTTCCTCCCCTCCGAGAATGTGCATGCGCGTGCTCTCTTTCAAATAAATAAATAAATCTTAAAAAAAAAAAGGAAAGGTATAGTGAAACCATAATCACTCTGAATACATTCAGGGTTTATGTTGACAATCCCTAGACTGTGCAGTTTCCTTAAACCCCAAATGACAGGATACTTGAGCTGAAAGACACCTGCAAGTTGAGAATGTGAAAGGCTTTTTACTGAAAGTAAAGTAATTCCTCCCTAATGTTTCTGGTGACCATCTATCGGATTCCTGATGGAGGAGGAGCTTGGGATGAGGTTGAGGAGAAACCTCGTGGGAGAATACTTTAACAGTGATGTCACCATAATTCATTTGTGAGTGAAATGACAAGCCAGCTCTTTCACAATCAGGATAACCCAGAGACAAATTTGTTTGCAAAAGCTGGGGAAAATAATGGCACCATTCTCCCACATTGTCTGACCATTAGTTTCACTTAAGCTCATAGTATAGGCCACCAGATTAGGTAAGAAAAAGATAAGTGTTAGAGATAAAGAAGAAAATAATGATTATATGAAGGGTCGATATTTGGGAGGGGAGGGGATTGATTTGCTAGAATACTTGTGTTTACAGCCCTAAGTTATGTTTACACTATGAAGTATCTTTTAAAAGCCACATAAAAAGACATTCAGCTCAAAATCAGATGCTGCCTAATGCCCCAAACCAGGATCACAGGGTACCTCATTAAAATACATGGACCTCCTATAAACCTGTTCATTAGAGTATGGAATTCAGTAAGAATCAGTTGGATCTTGGATCCCATCCAGTGCATTATAGTTTTTGAAGGCTCAACAAGATTTCAGTTTAAGGTGGTTCCATTTTTAAAGTTTGAAAAATGGGTGCCTGGGTGGCTCAGTTGGTTGAGCGATGGCCTTCGGCTCAGGTCATGATCCTGGAGTCCCGGGATCGAGTCCCGCATCGGGCTTCCCACTCAGCGGGAAGTCTGTTTCTCCCTCTGATCCTACCCCCCTCATGCTCTCTCTTTCTCATTCTCTCTCAAATAAGTAAGTAAAATCTTTTTTAAAAAAGTTTGAGCAAGGTTTCAGAATAAGTTTTCTTCATTTCTTAAGTTTTTCAGGGGGGGTATAAGTTATATGGACTCATAAGAATTTCAAATATATAGAACTGTATAAAGAAAAGAAGGCGATCCTACACCTACATATAAGCACTATTGATATTTTGATGAAAATCCTTCCAGACATCTTTCCACATGTGTGAACAGTACATGTATATGTTTTTGTCACTCTCATGAAAAGGGGTTATAGTGATGCTCTTAGGGTGAGGGGAAGACTCATTTTTTTTTTTTTTAAGATTTTATTTATTTGACAGAGAGAGCACAAGCAGAGGGAGAGAGAGGGAGAAGCAGGTTTTCTGCTGAGCAAGGAGCCTGATGTGGGACTCGATCCCAGGACCCTGGGATCATGACCTGGGCCAAAGGCAGCCGCTTACCTGACTGAGCCACCCAGGCGTCCCAACTGTATCATTTTCAATAAGAGTGATCAGTACATAGAAGAAAGGAAATTAACTTCAACATCTAAGCACCTAAAACAGTGCAAACATCAGTGTTTCATTAAACATTTTGAGAATAATCTTCAACTATCAGGAAAAATGAAATAATTCTGAAATATATTATGGGTTCTGAGTCAAACTGAATGCCATGTAGGGGTGTAGAGTCTTTACTAATCCAACCAGGTATCCAGGTGAGAGTACTGTGGTAACTGGAGAGGTCTAATTATAGGACTAAAACAGAACACTGTTAACTTTCCACCTCTCCCAAATCTCAGGTAAATTACAAACAGATGTCTATTCACAGTTCTTCAGCCATTATGGATGGCCAGTTAGATTGGCCTATGGACGTCATTGACATCAATTCAAGTGAAACTGCTGCTCTTTTTCATAAGGCCATGAAATAGGCTGTGTATGTGTGTCTGTCTTAATATATGTGCAGTCATCAGTTCAGTGATGCTACTGTGTGACTGAGTGAACTTCTGAGTAGATCATGAAGGGTCCTTTTACGCTACTATAGTATTCACGAGTAGTCATTTAGAATGCCTTTAATTTCCTCTGATTGGTAGCCCAATACTTGGTATACTGCCTTAAATGTTCACAAAGCAAGTCTCTGCCATTGGCCATGACTGGAAACTTAGGAATTTCTGCTGAAGTTCTTGTGATCTAATCCTCTCTTGAAAGCACAGAACTAAAGCATGTATTGAAATGCCTGAGTCAGCCGTTCCAGGGATATACTGGCTGCACTCTTGCTTATTTTTCTGGGATGAAAAAATCTCCTTGGTGACCTGAGGCAGCTAGCTTTTACCTTCTCCACCTAGAAATGCATGTATTATAACTGCATAGAAAACACACATACACATATACAAACACACATAAACTATATCTAAATTCTGACATTAGCATTATTATATTTTCTAGGATTTTAAAAAATATTTTATATTTTCTAGGATTATGCTTAATTTCAGCAGATCTTGTTTAATAACTTATAAGAAAATAATTTCACCTCGTTTCTACTAATTGCTATTAAAATTTTTTAACTTTTCTAACTGTTTAGTTTAGGGAAGGAAAAGAAAGACATGTTGGACACCTGGCATGCGTCGTGACATTGGGTGTAGAGATTATTGAAACTTTTACTTTTACTTGTTTAGTGTTACTTCTATTTTATAGATGAGGACCTCACAACAGTCAAGTAACTCTGAGGTAGAAAACACAGTTGGTATTTGAACCAGGTACATCTGAGGCAAAAGGTCTATAACCTCATCATGCTATAGAATGAGCTGCAGAATGCTGGGCTTATAAAAAACTATATCAATATTATTAAGTAAAAAAAGCAAGGTTCAGAGCAATAAGCATTATATACTACCATTATGTGAAGTGTATGTATGAATACATATGTACATGTGTGTGTTTATTTTTACATATGCTTAGCATATCTAGCATATGTCTGGAAGACCATATAATGGTTGCCTCCAGGGATGGGAATTGGGCTGCTAGAAATCTAGATGTTTTGGGGCACCTGGGTGGCTCAGTCGGTTAAGTGTCTGCCTTTGGCTCAGGTCATGATCCCAGGGTCCTGGGATCTAGCCCCGCGTAGGGCTCCCTGCTCCGCGGGAAGCCTTCTCCCTCTCCCACTCCCCCTGCTTGTGTTCCCTCTCTCTGTCAAATAAATAAATAAAATCTTAAAAAAAAAAAAAAAAAGAGGGCCCATTTGCCCTCAGGCCTAAGTCTCAACGTCTGGAACAAAGTAGCTCTTGTGTGACAGGGAAGAGAGGAGCCCTGGGGACAGGAGTCCCACCTGGAAGAAGAGCTCATCTAACAGGAACCACCCTCACCACAGCTTCAGAACATGCAGAAGAACCCAGAAAGGAGTGGGTCCTAATTTGCTCCACCAGAAGCAGTTCTTATTTACCTTGTCCAGAAAGAGCCAGACTTCGTGATGTCACCACATCCAGAAGCTATCACAGACTGTGTGACAGTGGAAACTGGACCAGCTTGCAGAAGCTTATCTGTCACAGTTCTCTGTAGTCTCCCAACAACAGCAGAAAATGAACACATCTCAGGCATCAGTGTCATTCAAGGACGTGACTGTGGAATTCACCCAAAAGGAGTGGCAGCAAATGGGTCCTATTCAGAGGACCCTGTATAGAGATGTGATGCTGGAGAACTACAACAACCTAGTCTCAGTGGGGAACTGCATTTTCAAACCAGCAGTAATCTTCAAGTTGGAGCAAGGAGAGGAGCCTTGGTGCTTAGAGGAAGAATTCTCAAACCAGAGCCACCAAGAAGATTACAGAGATGATGACCTGATGAAGAGGAACAAGAAAATCCAAGATAAACACTTGCAGGAAATAATATTCATCGATAATAAACCATTGCCTGGAGAGGAAGAAGAAGTTTTGGGAAAACAGTTTAATCTGCACATAGCTCCTGTTTCAACAAAAATATCCTGTAAATATGACTCATGGGGAGTAAATTTGCAAAATATTTCCCAACTTATTAATAATAGAACCTATCCAACAAAAAAAAAAACAAAAAAAAAAAAGAAAGAGAAAGAAATCTGGATGTTTTATTATAAAATCCTTTCGGGGCACCTGGGTGGCTCAATTGGTTAAACATCGTGACCTGAGCAGAAATCAAGACTTAGCCAATTAATCGATTAATTGGCTTAAGTGAGCCACCCAGGCACCCCGGCGTGTAAAGCTTCCAGTGCTGTAGAATATTAATACTATTATGATATTGATAAGCATTGATAATAATTATATCTTTCTAGTTTTTCAATTCCTATGATACTACTCTAATGACCTACACAGTAGAATTTGAGAGTGAGAGGCACCTGGGCGGCTCAGTCGGTTAAGCATCTGCCTTTGGCTTAGGTTGTGATCATGGGTTCCTGGGATCGAGCCCCACACTGGGCTCCCTGCTCCGCGGGGAGCCTGCTCCTCCCTCTCCCTCTGCCTGCTGCTCCCCCTGCTTGTGCTCTTTCTCTCTGTCAAATAAATAAATAAAATCTTTAAAAAAAAAAAAGAATTTGAGAGGGAAGTAGAATACTGATATAATATATCATGATAGCAGAGGTAATGATGACTACATTCTGCATTCAACTATTTACATTTTTAATGCCACTTGAAATTTTAATAATCCTCGGTTTATCTGTTTTTTGAAACAAGAACACCATGCCTCAAATGACAGCAGTTGCCAGTCATGACTGAGGTCAAAGAAGTATTTCATGGGTCTTACAATTGAACTTAAAAAGAAAAAAGTTTGTCATATAGTAAAAGCTATGTTTTAATTTGGAACTACCATTAATCAAAATACCTTACCTTGAATACACTTTATTTTTGTATTTGTTTAATGATCTGTTTATAAAGCTGTCTCCCTTACTAAATTGGGCAGGGTCCACGCTTCTTCATTTGTTGCCGTATTTTTAGTGGGTAGCCCAATTCCTGGCAGTTGGTAGGTAGCTAAAAATATTGGTTGAGCTGAATTGAATTGAACTAGAGATATTTAGCTTAGTTGGGAGAAGAGAGAGAGAAATAATCTCAGTTTTTAGATAGTTGAAATGTTTTCATGTGAAAGAGGTTGAGTTTTTTTCTGTATGCTTCAGGAGACTGCAAACCAGTGGGTGGACGTTTCAAGAATCTTCTGAAAGTTGAGTTGTCTAAAGCTAAGGGGCCCTGTCTCAGGAGATACTGATTCTGTTCCCAGGAGATTCACTCATGGCCGGTCAACTATGGAAGTAATTCAAGTATTTAATTGTTCATTGGTTTCTTTCTTTTTCACATCTTGGGGAATTTTTTAAATTTTATTTTTTAAAGATATTTATTTATTTGAGAGAGCGAAAGCACGAGCAGGGGAAGGGGCAGAGGGAGAAGCAGGCTCCCTCCTGAGCACAGAGCCCAATGCAGGGATCCATTCCAGGACACTGAAATCATGGCCTGAGCCGAAGTCAGATGCTTAACCAAATGAGCCACCCAGGCACCCCCATTTGTTTCTTTACTCATTTCTGCAAACATGTATTGAGCACACACTGTCCTAGGTGTTGGATACTAAGACTGAATACATCATAATTTCTGCCCTCGAAGAACTCAGACCCAGCAGGTGAATGGAATTTTAGCAAAGGATTACAACCCAGGGTGCTAAGAGGTTGTTACAGCGGTGTAATGGTAATACCCAGGAGAGTTAACAGGAAAGGTTGCTGAGGAGGTGACTCTGAAGTAGAGTTGACCAGGCAGATAGAGAGAGAGGAGTCCTAAGCAGAAGGAAAAATACATGCAAAAGCGCAGAAGTTAAACTTTTTAGAATACAGTGGTATTTCATTTGGATTAGGTAGCCTTAAAATACCTCCAATCCTAAGATTCTGTGTTCTGGCTCTTTAACTTAGTGTCTTTTTTCACTTCCTGGCAGATATTACATGTATGTATGTATTTCAGTTGTCTTTTTTCATAGGAAGCAAAAACAGTAACCTTCTTCTTTGATTTTTGTTCGTAGTCAAGTTCATCCGAGAAGTAACACCATATATCAAGAAGCCATCATTAGTATCAGATCTACCATGGGAAGGTGCATCTCCTCAGTCACCAAGCTTTAGTGGCAGTGAGGACTCTGGTTCTCCAAAACACCAGAACAGCACCAAGGACAGGAAGGTCATCCCTCTCAAAATGTGCTTTGCTGCTAGAAACCTAAGCATGCCGGATCTGGAAAACAGGTGAGCTGTACCTAAGGAGAATATCAAACTTAAGGCTTTACAACTTAGGGACATGTTGTAATATTGCTTATGCATATTATTAATAATATGACTGTTGACTACATGATACAGAGGAAAACATCAGCCTGAGATGAAAGAATAATTTTTGGAGTTCCATATTTAAATTACTTCACACATATATGTACATATACATATATAGAAAAATTCGGGACAAACACACAAGAAATTTAATGCTGGTTACTCCCAGGGAGTGAAATAAGATTAGAAAGTAGAAGGAGAGAAGGGGCTTCTACTCTTCATTTTATACTTTCCTGGAGTTTTAGTACTTTTCTCACTATGAAGTTACTTTATAATTTTAAAAACATTATTAAAGAAATCTTAAATGTCCCCTCAGATGGAAACTCCTTATATTGTAGATAACATAGAGTCAGAGATCTGATTATAGATATGGCTGCATCAGCTAGCAGTGTGACCCTGGCAAGTTGGCATCTCTTGACTTGAGTTTCCTTATTTGTAAAAAGAGAGAGTTGGATTGAATAATTTTTTATGTCCCTCATAGTTCTATAACCAGTTGGGTTCTCTGACTCTGTCTTCAGTGATTGCATGAAGTGGTACTGGTAAACCTAGTTAGACTAGACTTTAGGGGGAAAAAGGGAGAGAGAGAGAGATGAACTTATCTAGAGACCTAGGCAAGGGCCAGGCTTTTTATAATGTACTTTCACTTTTATGGTCTCTTCTGATCTGAATGCACAGCCAGGTGTCCAGTCAGGATGGGATGGATCACAAGAAGACAGCAAGAGGTTGAGTGACCGTGGACATTTTTTTAAAAGTTTATTTATTTTTTTGAGAGAGAGAGAAAGTGAGAGAGAGCATGAGCAGGGGGAGGAGCAGAGGGAGGAGCAGACTCCCCACTGAGCAGGGAGCCTGATGCAGGGCTCGTCCCAGGACCCCGGGATCATGACCCAAGCCAAAGGCAGACGCTTAACCAACTGAGCCACCCAGGCGCCCCAACATTGGGCATTTTAGGCCATAGGGACATTACAGATCCTACTCTGTAATATGTTGTGTGGTATACTAGAAAGAGTTGAGCTCTGCAATCAGATAGACCTTCTTGTGGAAATCAGACAATCCTAATTAGGGTGACCTGCTGAAAAGAAGGCTCTAAGCAAATACTTTCACCTCCATAAACCACTATATCCTTATCTCTTTAAAAAAAAAAAGAAAGATAGGCGCCTGGGTGGCTCATTTGGTTAAGTGTCTGCCTTCGGCTCAGGGCATGATCCCAGGATCCTGGGATTAAGTACCACATTGGGCTCCTTGCTCGGCAGGGAGCCTGCTTCTCCCTCTCCTTCTACCATTCCCCCTGCTTGAGTTCTCTTGCGTGCTCTCTCTCTCTGTCAAATAAATAAATAAATAAAGTCTTTTTAAAAAATTTTAAAAAAAAGAATACTCAGTGTGCAGATTAAATGAGACAATACATATGAAGCCCTTTGCACAGAACATAGTAGTTTCTTAAGAAAGAGTAGCTTAAAGAAGTCTTAACTGCCAACTAGGTATGCACATTTTGAAAATTATATTCTGATATATTTGTATTGTTTTTGTTTGCTTTCTTTTAAAAGTTCAAGATATTATAGAAATTGTTTCAAGTTACATATAGATTTATTTATGAAAGATTGCACATTAAATCATATCTAAATACAACATAGCTTGGTCTTTAAAGAATTGCTTTATTTTTTTCATAAAGTAAGAATTGAATTTGTAAAGTCATCACCTCTGCGTCTTGAAATCAAAATTAATTTTTTTTCCTCAAATGAGATACATTTATGTAGAGCCTTTGGTTAATCATGGACTTAAAAAAATTAGTAGGGACCACGAAGAAGGAACTAGAATAGAGAAACAATGTGATAAAGAACAAACAGCAACTAAGTTTGTCAGCTGGCTCTCAGACTGAGGAATATTTTCAGGCTAAGTCTCTTCATTGTAAATCATTTCTGAGAATGAGAATAGATATCTCCTGTCTTAGTCTGTTGTGGCTGCTATAACAAAATACCGTAGATGGGGGGGCTTATAAACAAACAGAAGGTTATTTTTCATAGTTCTGGTAGAGGATAGGAAGTCCAAGATAAGATGTCTGGTGATGGCTGTCTTCTTGCTGTGTCCTCAAGGGCAGAAGAGTCTGGAGAGCTCTCTGGGGTCTCTTTTATAAGAGCACTTACCTCATTCATGAGGTCTCTGCCCTCATGATCTTATCACCTCCCAAAGGCCCCATCTCCTAATATCACAGTAAGGGTTAAGTTTTTAACACCTGTAGTGCTGCTGATATAGCTGGGTATTAGAGAAAAAGGCGAAGTATTGCAAAGTTTCTACAGAACTCAGGGTTGTGAGAGGGGAGGGGAAAAAAGGAGGAAGGGGATATGACTTGGCTGTATTATTGAAGGTTGTGCTACTTTATCTTCTACTTAGACATCTTTTAGAGCTGAGTAACCTTGGCCTTCATTAAAATATGGGGCTGCATTCTCCGTAGCATTCATGCTAAATGCTAGAGACATCTGGTGCATGATCACGTTTGAAATAGGTCTTCAGAAGCAATTGGAGAGGGCAGTTTAGGCTACAAGATTTGTATCACACCTTGCTCTTAAGATGGTCAGTCTCCTGGAACATGATATACTATACAAGGAAAAGTCTTAGAAGATTCAGACTATTGCAGATTCTCAGTCTTAATACTGCAAAGTAATTTGTTTCTCATTTTACTTGAAATACTAAAATTTGTAAATAATTTGCTTTTTGTAAAATATAAATTGGTAGAGATTCAAGGTTATTTCTATATCACTCTTACTTGCATTCCAGTGTGCTTTCTGGAGAAAAAGAGAAGCAGTAGAATTACCAGTACCTGGCAAAATTATGCATAACTTTAGTTATGTCCACAGGAATGTGAACATCTATCCTATATGTCATAATAGAAAAAATGTTCAGAACCCATTAGCTAATTAGATGGAAGTTAGGATGATGGGCTTTGTCACTTTGGCCAACCTATTTGTTTTCTGTAAGCCTTGGTTTCCTGCTCTATAAAATGAAAGCTTATGTGCAGATTAAATAAGAGGATAATAGTAAAATTGACACAGTAAGCTTTCAGTATATTATTATTATAGGTGCCATTTGTGTCCTATGACCTTAAATAAATCCCTTAATTTCTCTGTCCTGTTTTCTCTGTCTGTAAAATGGACATAATAGTGCTTGCTCAACTAGAGTCTTTTAGAACTACTTCAAGGAGAAATAAGATAATATCTATAAAATCACTTGGAGCTCTTTGATCCTTAAATTTATCTCAGCTCTGTCTCAGGAAAATGTCATGACAAGTAACACAGCTGCAACATTTAAAGCCGTGAAAAAAACCAGTCCATCATAGGAACAGTAAAAATAAGTTTTGTTAGGATATCTGTGAGCAAAACATTTATCAAGTTGCAGTTTTATATAACTGACCATATTTCTATTTGAAAATTTTAATCTTCAGCATAGTCTCTTGTAAAACCCAGAGCAAGAAGTAGGCCTAGATGTTCCCTAATGTGGAAAATACTTTTTCTGTTCTTTAAGCCCTTGGTAGGCATGTGGTTTCCCAACATTCTTTACTTTTTTCCTAATATTTTATTGTGAAAAATCTTCCAACATAAAGCAGGGTCAGAGAATTCTATGCTCAATACTCATTTTCCCACCAACTAGATTCTACCATGAATATTTTATTTTACTTGCTTTAGCACAGATTGACCCATCTATCCAGCCGTCATTCCATTTTAATTTTTCTTGATACTTTTCAAACTGAATTGCAGGCTTTAACATATTTCCCTCTAAATACTTAAGTATGCATATAAAGAAGTAGAGTTCAGTGTTTCATTATAGTTTTTTTCTTTTGAGAAAATATTTACATAAAATAAAATGCACAAATCATAAACTTTGACAAATGCATACAATTATGTAACCCGAGCCTATCAAGATGTAGTATATTACCTGGGCACCTGGGTGGCTCAGTCCGTTGGGCGGCTGCCTTTGGCTTGGGTCGTGATCCTGGGGTCTTGGGATCGAGCCCCGCATCCGACTCCCTGCTCAGCGGAGAGCCTGTTTCTCCCTCTCCATCTGCCTGCCACTCTGTCTACTTGTGCTCTCTCTCTGTCAAATAAATAAATAAAATCTTAAAAAAAAAAAAAAGATGTAGTATATTACCATCACCCTGGAAAGTTTTCTGTGCCCTTTCTCACTCAATTCCCTCTCCCACCTTCAAAGGTTACTACTCTTCTGACTTTCTACTACAGATTAGTTTTAACTGTTCTGAAATTTTGTATAAATGCAATCATATGTACTCTTTTGTGGTACAATTCTTTTACTCAGCATAAGGTTTTTGAGATTCATTTATCTTGTTGCATATATCCTTAGTTTTTTTCTCTTTTATTGTTGAATGATACGTGTTATATGTCACAGTTCTGTTATCTGTTTTCCCATTGGTGGGAGCCATTTCCAGTTTAGAGTTAATATTAATAAAGTTACTATGAATATTTTTGTACAACCTTTTGTAGGCATACATTTTCATTTTTCTTTGGTAAATTCTTAGGTGTGGAATTGCTGGGTCAAATAGTTTAATTTTGGGGGGCGCCTGGGTGGCACAGTGGGTTGAGCATCCAGCTCTTGATTTTGGCCCAGGTCATGATGTCAGGGTCATGGGATTGAGCCCCGTGTCGGGCTCCTTGCTCAGCAGGAGTCTGCTGGGGATTCTCTCTTTCCCCACCCCCCGGCCCTGGCTCTCTCTCAAATAAATAAATAAATCTTTAAATAAAAGTTTAGTTTTTAAATGCTAGTCTTTTTTCCAAAATGATTGTGCCATTTAAATGAATACTGTTATTAATAAATTAAATACACCAGCATTGTATGAGAGATTGTGTTGTTCTACATCGTCACCAACGTTGGTGGTGTCAGTCTTTTTAATATTAACTCTTCCTGTGGTGTATAGTAGA